AACCAGGTTGCAGATGTAGCAGAAGGGGAACGTCTGCAGCAGAGTGGCGACAATATATACGACGGAGGCGAAGCCCGTCCAAAGATCACAGAAGAAAAATAAATTGATCAAGGCAATTCCAAGGATAGCGCCAATGAGCAGAAACTGTATGAAAATTGTGCCCGATATGACAGGTCGAATAAGAGCGCAGTATCTGTGAAGAGAAATAGTCACATAATATTGTCAAGTAATTATCTATGATTTGTCTAACTCCAATATCAGCTTGTGATCCAAGACGCAATTCACCAGTTCCTCGTAGTTCTCGTCCTCGGTCATTTCTGGGTTGGTGCGCAGCTTACTAATACGCCCGTTGAGTAGTTCTAGATGAGTGCGCAGAATGAGTCCATATACCAACGTATAGGTGTCCGACAACAGATTCTGCACCGCAGCGCCCACCAGTACCATAAACTCAAACGTGGAGACAATCCACAAATTGAGTGTGCCATCATGCCAGTCCAAGAATGGATTATATAGCTGATAGGGAGGATGACCGCTGAGTACGGAGCTGAGATAGCTGGAGACCCCAGAACTGGAGTAGATAATAGTGAATATGAGAAAGACGTGATTACACCGCGCGACAATGTGATGAATCTTCTCGCGTTCCTCGAGACTGGAGCAATGCACATCCAACTTGTCCAGTAATTCCCTGGCCTTAATCAGGCGCCAAAGCTGCGAGTAGATGATGATTACTTTCGTCGAGCAGCCGTAGGCACTGATGCACACCTGCAACGACGTTAGAAACTCGCCCGGCGTAAACAACTTAATTTGCGTTATATAGCTGCCCAGAAAACCCAGTGGTAAGTAGACGGTGTGCCATCCAAAAGCCATCAGTGTCCAACTGAAATACACATAGCGTAACAGAACTGCCTTTGGTGGTATCCAACCAATAAACTTCATAGCTCGGTACAGATAGATAAAACCATCCTGGGAGGCCACCTTCTCCGTCAACGACGCTTGCTTGATCAATCTGAAGAGCATCCTGTGCTGAATACCAATTGTATCTAATGGCTCGTCGGTGGTGCATTCCTTTATATAGGTTCTGGTCTAGCAACATTTTAATAAATTTTTTAATAAAGTTGGAAAGTTTGCCATTAAGCTTTGACATCGTAAATTATTCACTTGAGAATTTCGCGCTCTGCTCCGTTATGTTTTATGAGTTGGGCGGGCAGCCAATGCAGCGCCTCTAATTTTGTGATTCGTTGCACATGTTGACTTTCCAATCTGAATTAATGATGTCATGCAGAAACTTAACCTAAGCAGCCGCGTTTGTTTGATACCAATGTCCAATATTTATACTCTGATACCATAGGTATTATAGTGTATTGGCTTTGCGCAATCGCCGTCGGTGTGTCTGTTCTTCTGTATGAGCGGAAACTTAGAGATGGAGTGATAAAAGTGTAATAATAGATAATGCCACATATCTCCCACAATTTTAAGGTTACAGTCACTAAATTTAGTTTGTAGATTGTTCGCAGTGTCCTTCAAAGATTGGCATGTACCATGCCTACCTCCGCTGCCTCAAGACCCCGCCCCTAAAACTGTTAAATGGCTATATCTTCCGCAGTTTTTGAGTCAGAGTCAAATTTGGTAGGTATATTACTGGTTGACCACGCCCACTCCCGCCATCAATGTAAGAGCTATAGTTACCAACCTTGGATGGAATATTACGAGGAAACTCCTCCAAAATTTGTTCCGAGCACTTCCATTCCGCCCCGCAAAATTAACAAAAGCCTACATCTAGCGCAGTTTTAAAGGCACATTTCAGGATGGATTACTGGGAACCTCCTTCAAAGATCGATATTCCTTGGCTACACCCACCCCCTTCAGTGGCACCTGTTATCAGATGGTATAACTTATTGGTATCAGAGTATTTAGCAGTCGGTTACACCTGACTGCAACGTTCCCCTTGTTTTTGTTCACAATGTCTGTCTGCTTATTAAAAAGTTGCAAGTGCCAGGCTGCACCTAAGTCTGATTTTATTTGTTCACTCAATGGATAAAATACATACTCTGCAATAATTTGTGATTATTCATGTGTTTATGTGGTAAATCAGGCGATCTTCGTTTAGCTTTCAGGGGGCTCCAATGCTAACTTCGATGCATTAGAGACATTTCCCAAATAGGTACAAATCATATAAAATAATATAAGAAAATGTATGCTGAATACCAACATTGCTAATAAGTTACTTGGTTTATTTCCAGCGTGAATACATTTATAAACAAACAATTAATCAATTGAAAAACACAAACACTACGCGATTTGTCATTACTACACTAAATTATGCGAAAAGGTGTGCTGATTTGCTTTGAATAATATATAAATATGTAAAGTGCACTCCAGAAATCATTCAGTTTTGAATCTATCCGCAATATTCATTTCCTTAACGATGGTGATGACCGTAAATGCCAACTTAGCTACCTAAAGAACAAAACATGGCAAATTTAAAAGAATAATAATAGCAGGCTGCATAACTTACGCTTATGTTGCTGCTCACGGTTATGGGCAAGATACCGCCGGCGATGAAAACGATGGGCTGCTGCACATTGTGCAGAAAGTAAAATAGTGTGGACTGATATCGCGAGCCGGAACCTACCCAATTGCTCTGAAAGATGGCATGTGCAAGGGCCTCGCAGTCATCGACAACCAGGTTGCAGATGTAGCAGAAGGGGAACGTCTGCAGCAGAATGGCGACGATAAACACGGTACAGGCGAGGCCAGTCCAAACGTCAGAGAAGAAGAGCAAATTGATCAGGGCTATCCCAAGGACAACGCCAATGAGCAGAAACTGTGTGAAAATTGTGCCCGATATGACAGGTCGAATAAGAGCGCAGTATCTGAGAAAAGAAATAGTCAGATAATATTGTCAAGTAATTATCTATGATTTGTCTAACTCCAATATCAGCTTGTGATCCAAGACGCAATTCACCAGTTCCTCGTAGTTCTCGTCCTCGGTCATTTCTGGGTTGGTGCGCAGCTTGCTAATACGTCCGTTGAGTAGTTCTAGATGAGTGCGCAAGGTGAGTCCATATACCAACGTATAGGTGTCCGACAACTGATCTTTCAGTACAGCTCCCGCCATTATTAAATACTCCAGCGTCGAGACAATCCACATATTGAGTGTGCCATCATGCCAGTCCAAGAATGGATTATACAGCTGATAGGGAGGATGACCGCTGAGTACGGAGCTGAGATAGGTGGAGACCCCATAACTGCAGTAAATAATGGTGAAGATGAAAAATACATGATTACACCGCGCGACAACGCTATGAATCTTCTCGCGCTCCTCGAGACTTGTGCAGCGCACATCCAACTTGTCCAGTAATTCCCTGGCCTTAATCAGGCGCCAAAGCTGCGAGTAGATGATGATTACTTTCGTCGAGCAGCCGTACGCATTTATGCACACCTGCAACGACGTTAGAAACTCGCCCGGCGAAAACAACTCAATTTGCGTTATATAGCTGCCAAGAAAACCCAGTGGCATGTAAAAGGTGCACAATCCAAAAGTCATCAGGGTCCAACAGAAATACACATAGCGTAACAGACCTTCCTTTGGTGGTATCCAACCAATAAACTTCATAGCTCGGTACAGATAGATAAAACCATCCTGGGAGGCCACCTTCTCCGTCAACGGCGCTTGCTTGATCAGTCTGAAGAGCATCCTGGTCAGAATAGTAATTGTATCTAATGGCTCGTCGGTGGAGCATTCCTTTATATAGCAGCATTTTGTTAAATTTTTCAATGCAGTCGAAAAGTTTGATTTTAAGTTATATATTTTTAATTATTCACTTGAGAATTTCGCGCTCTGCTCCGTTATGTTTTATGAGTTGGGCGGGCAGCCAATGCAGCGCCTCTAATTTTGTGATTCGTTGCACATGTTGACTTTCCAATCTGAATTAATGATGTCATGCAGAAAACCTAAACAGCCGCGTTTGTTTGATACCAATGTCCAATATTTATACTCTGATACCATAGGTATTATAGTGTATTGGCTTTGCGCAATCGCCGTCGGTGTGTCTGTTCTTCTGTATGAGCGGAAACTTAGAGATGGAGTGATAAAAGTGTAATAATAGATAATGCCACATATCTCCCACAATTTTAAGGTTACAGTCACCAAATTTAGTTTGTAGATTGTTCGCAGTGTCCTTCACAGATTGGCATGTACCATGCCTACCTCCGCTGCCTCAAGACGCCGCCCCTAAAACTGTTAAATGGCTATATCTTCCGCAGTTTTTGAGTCAGAGTCAAATTTGGTAGGTATATTACTGGTTGACCACGCCCACTCCCGCCACCAATCTAAGAGCTATAGTTACCAACTTTGGACGGAATGTTACGAGGAAACTCCTCCAAAATTTGTTCCGAGCACTTCCATTCCGCCCCGCAAAATTAACAAAAGCCTACATCTAGCGCAGTTTTAAAGGCACATTTCAGGATGGATTACTGGGAACCTCCTTCAAAGATCGATATTTCTTGGCTACACCCACCCCCTTCAGTGGCACCTGTTATCAGATGGTATAACTTATTGGTATCAGAGTATTTAGCAGTCGGTTACACCTGACTGCAACGTTCCCCTTGTTTTTGTTCACAATGTCTGTCTGCTTATTAAAAAGTTGCAAGTGCCAGGCTGCACCTAAGTCTGATTTTATTTGTTCACTCAATGGATAAAATACATACTCTGCAATAATTTGTGATTATTCATGTGTTTATGTGGTAAATCAGGCGATCTTCGTTTAGCTTTCAGGGGGCTCCAATGCTAACTTCGATGCATTAGAGACATTTCCCAAATAGGTACAAATCATATAAAATAATATAAGAAAATGTATGCTGAATACCAACATTGCTAATAAGTTACTTGGTTTATTTCCAGCGTGAATACATTTATAAACAAACAATTAATCAATTGAAAAACACAAACACTACGCGATTTGTCATTACTACACTAAATTATGCGAAAAGGTGTGCTGATTTGCTTGGAGTGCACTCCAGAAATCATTCAGTTTTGAATCTATCCGCAATATTAATTTCTTTAACGATGGTGATGACCGTAAATGCCAACTTAGCTACCTAAAGAACAAAACATGGCAAATTTAAAAGAATAATAATAGCAGGCTGCATAACTTACGCTTATGTTGCTGCTCACGGTTATGGGCAAGATACCGCCGGCGATGAAAACGATGGGCTGCTGCACATTGTGCAGAAAGTAAAATAGTGTGGACTGATATCGCGAGCCGGAACCTACCCAATTGCTCTGAAAGATGGCATGTGCAAGGGCCTCGCAGTCATCGACAACCAGGTTGCAGATGTAGCAGAAGGGGAACGTCTGCAGCAGAATGGCGACGATAAACACGGTACAGGCGAGGCCAGTCCAAACGTCAGAGAAGAAGAGCAAATTGATCAGGGTTATCCCAAGGACAACGCCAATGAGCAGAAACTGTGTGAAAATTGTGCCCGATATGACAGGTCGAATAAGAGCGCTGTATCTGAGAAAAGAAATAGTCAGATAATATTGTCAAGTAATTATCTATGATTTGTCTAACTCCAATATCAGCTTGTGATCCAAGACGCAATTCACCAGTTCCTCGTAGTTCTCGTCCTCGGTCATTTCTGGGTTGGTGCGCAGCTTGCTAATACGTCCGTTGAGTAGTTCTAGATGAGTGCGCAAGGTGAGTCCATATACCAACGTATAGGTGTCCGACAACTGCTGTTTCAGTACAGCTCCCGCCATTATTAAATACTCCAGCGTCGAGACAATCCACATATTGAGTGTGCCATCATGCCAGTCCAAGAATGGATTATACAGCTGATAGGGAGGATGACCGCTGAGTACGGAGCTGAGATAGGTGGAGACCCCATAACTGCAGTAAATAATGGTGAAGATGAAAAATACATGATTACACCGCGCGACAACGCTATGAATCTTCTCGCGCTCCTCGAGACTTGTGCAGCGCACATCCAACTTGTCCAGTAATTCCCTGGCCTTAATCAGGCGCCAAAGCTGCGAGTAGATGATGATTACTTTCGTCGAGCAGCCGTACGCATTTATGCACACCTGCAACGACGTTAGAAACTCGCCCGGCGAAAACAACTTAATTTGCGTTATATAGCTGCCAAGAAAACCCAGTGGCATGTAAAAGGTGCACAATCCAAAAGTCATCAGGGTCCAACAGAAATACACATAGCGTAACAGACCTTCCTTTGGTGGTATCCAACCAATAAACTTCATAGCTCGGTACAGATAGATAAAACCATCCTGGGAGGCCACCTTCTCCGTCAACGGCGCTTGCTTGATCAGTCTGAAGAGCATCCTGGGCTGAATACCAATTGTATCTAATGGCTCGTCGGTGGAGCATTCCTTTATATAGCAGCATTTTGTTAAATTTTTCAATGCAGTCGAAAAGTTTGATTTTAAGTTATATATTTTTAATTATTCACTTGAGAATTTCGCGCTCTGCTCCGTTATGTTTTATGAGTTGGGCGGGCAGCCAATGCAGCGCCTCTAATTTTGTGATTCGTTGCACATGTTGACTTTTCAACCTGAGTTAATGATGCCCTGTATAAACTTAACCTCAGCAGCCTCGATTGCTTGATACAAATCTCATATATTTTATTTTTATTTTGTGGTGGTATTTTGAATGACCGTGGGTAACACGTTTTTATTCTGTAGAGTTTAATTTTCGAAATTTAGGATATATTTAAAATCTTGCAGAGTGTAAGATATTTGTTAAACCTAGTCTCCCAGTTTGAACAGCAATGAAAGGCAACTTTCTGGATATTGGATATTAATATACCTTAAAATATTATTGCCCATCTGTAAGTGTGTAAAAAAGATCGTAAGAAAATCGCATATATTTAAATTAACGAATTATAATAGAATTGTGTTCAGGGTATTTCCAATTCGAGCCCTTTCGAGTAGATAATTCTTACTTGTTTTATTGTGGATTCGCTCAAGGTTGAATTTTATATTATTTATATATAATATGCAGGGCCCTGCTTGACTTTAGTGAATGCCCGCTGACAACAAAGGATCGTTGTAAAATGGCCGCTAATCGCAGTGAAGATAAACTCACAGTTTGTCTTTTAAGTCGGAGTACCTAAATATTTCAACTGCAATTATTAAATTTGCTGTCTGATAAGGCAATACATTTTGCATAATCTGCTTTAAAGTTACTATGTATGTGTGGGTTTATATGTATATCACCAGATTGACATTTCAGTGGAGCTCTAATGAAAAATATGTGCGGTGAGTGTTATTAATATTCCTCAGAATGTCTGGCGTTTGACACATGTTTTGTTGTCGGTGTCGCTGTAGCTTTTGTTGTGCGTCTCGCAGCAGCAACTGCCTGCTTATACTGCTCATCTCTCTCGCTCTCTCTTTCTTTATATATATATATATATCTCATTCCTTGCTGCTGTGCACAAGTTGACATTTTTTTTTCATTACTTCAACGTTTCAATAGAAGCAACAGCAGCCAAGCTGCCTGGCTCCAAATACACTCATGTGCGTGTGAGTGTGTGTTGTATAAAGCAAGTATGTTGTGTCCAAAGGCAGCGCGTGAAGTAAGGGCAAGGATAATCTTTTGTTTGCCTTTGTACAGCTCACACTTCAGTTCCTTCGGCTTCCGATTCAGCTGCAGGTAAGCAGATGCTTCAGCTCTCTCTGGCTGTAGTTGTTTGTAGCTGTAGCTGCTGCCATTTCGGGCACAACGTATTTGTGTTTTGCTTTAGTTATTTGCTAGCCCCCTATCAGCTACCCACACTCGACTATTCCCAGGTGTTTTGCACGGCACACACACTCATTTCATATGTTGGCTGACAGAGCAGCTTACGTGCTGACATCTTCCAGAATTTGTTTGGAATTTATGCAGTGTAATAAAGCCAGCGACTTTGGACCTGGTCAAGGAGAGAGCGTTGTGTGGTCTCAGCTGTCTGGACACAAAACTCATTTTGCAGCCGAATCGAGTCGTATCAATTAAGCACTTTAATGTAGCGCACATGTCTTAGAACCAATTTTGGCAGCTGTACCCGTAACCTCCCGCTCTGCCCAACGCACCACTTTAAATATTTGTCGCCCTCTCAACTAATTGCAGTTGGCGCGTGTCATTTTTGGCTTTTATCTCGGCTGGCAGGATGCTGGTATGTGCATTTAATATCATCAGCGAGTCATTTATTATCGCTTGACGTATTTATTTTAATTAACGGAAATTAATGCCACAGTGCGCAGCTGTGCGAACATGTTTGCAGTTGCTTACACACAGTTCGGACTGCTCCCCGCACCATCTTCACCCTCCCTTCCAATTTAGCAGCTCAGCTCGTAGCTCGGCAAACACCTGACGACAGACGCACACATGAACGCACAGGACACTGGCTCGTATAAGGATGCCACACACACACATACTCTCTGTATGCCACTGAATGTATCTTGTTAAAAGCCCAACTCACACACAGGAAAACACTCAGATAGGAGTGTCAATCTGTTTTTGATATGCTGCAAATTAATGGAGTTAACAACGAGGCGCGCTTGTTCGCCTCTGACAGAGCTCTATATTTGGAATCAAAATATACATGTTGTGTACATATATGTTTTTTTCTTATGACTGCACAATTCGCCAATCATTAGCAATTAATTTGTGATCTAAATATAGCAGTTAACACATTTATATGTCATTTTAAGTTGGGACAGACTAAAATTCTTCAGCTGTTGCTGTTCTTTGGCTTTCTAAATGGTTTTTCAAATGCTTTAAGAATTTTTCATAGATTTTTTCAGAAGCAGATATTTTTATGATTTTTTAATGACATTAATTTAATCGTTTTTGAATTTGAGCACTGTAGCTGACTCGAATGTATTAAATACTGAGGTGGTATTGATATAGTTGTATGTGCAGTAATAATTTAATACCGATAAAAGAAATAAATACACTCAGAAAAAGATCACCAGGGTTTTTCTTTAATTTCTTTTACTTCGAAGCATTGGTTAAGTTATGTTTTTGTTACATATTTTGGGTGTGAGAAAGGGTAAGTGGACCCAAATGATGCAGAAATGTGGGTTGATTAACTTTTCGAAGCAACATTCACCCATTAGGATTATGAATCGATACATTTGGAATGCATTTTTGGAGTTGCATCCTATTGCATTGCTGCAGTGACTAGTTTAAAGTATACCTTTTAATTATATAGAGGACTTGTGTATACCACATATGGGAAAAAGAGCAGAACAATATTTTTATTTGATGCATTTTGTACGAATGATGTCAAGCTGGCTCTTAATTTTGCTTTTGGTATGCGGGTGCTTAAAGTTTTAGCCAGCGCCCAGTTGGATGCTATACAAAATTATTCAAAATCACAAGCGTAGAAAAAAAAAATGTTACATAATATGTACTACTACAAGTTAAGTGTACATATGTATTCAGCATAAAATGCTTAGAATAATTTTGCAGCCAAGCATTAAATTAATTTTAGAGTTTTATTTTCCTGGCAAATGGCTAAAAATTACCCGTATACAAAATGCACTTTGGTTAGCGGGTGCTTTCCTCATGAGGGAAATTCCCCAAAGCAGCTAGCGACCCTGAAGTACGCACATACACACACACAAACACACGCGGAAACACACGCGGAAACACACGCGGAAAAACACACAGTACAAATACAGATACAGTTGTGTAGACCAGGGCCATAAATTCCATTATTATTTGTAAACATTGCGACAGCGTGTGCCCCAAATTGTTAACTTGGCTACAAGGTCGCGCACATAAGCATATGCATATGAATATAAAAATTAAAAATAAAACTAAGCAAAATAAAATAACACTGAACAAAACGAAACATTCACACAAAACATTATGCTAGACAACACACAAAACTTTTAATTAATTTGCGTCTGTGTGAAGCGCGAGTGCAAGTATATGTCTGCCTCTGGTTGTCAGTGTATATGTGTATATGTGTGTGTGTGTTTGTGTGTGTGCTTAACATACACATTTACATTTAGTATCGCTTTGTGACCAAAGAAAAAATGGCTTGACCCAAAGGTAATCAGTTAATTTGTTGAGCAGTGTCAATATTCGCACAACCACAACGCTTATTTGAAGTTCATAACAATTTTGTAAGTTATTAAATTCACACACAAGCACAGCATATATAGACACACAAATGTACATACATATGTGTACATATGAAGGCCTTTGAGCCTAACACTGATTTTGCCCCGGGGCATTGTGCAAATACTACCTGTACAGGCCTACACCAGAGACTCACTCTGACGTGCTCCTTAACTACATAGTGAGGCAATCCATCAGTCGGTCAGTCAGTCAGTTAATCAGTCAGTCATTCAGTCAATCAGTAAGTGAGTCCATCAGGCTGCCTGTCTGCCTGTCTGTCTGTCAGCCATAGTTAAAGTAGTAGCAGAAAAGAGCAACAACTATAATTGATTTAATAGACCGACATTATGCGGGCAGCACAGCAGGTCCGTATTTGTTTTCCTCTCTGAATACTAAAATGTGATATACTTGAAGAGCATTTAAAATGCATTGTTCAACCTGTCAATACATTTCTGCTTGTTCAATTAAGCAACACACAAACGCCTGAGGGGAACAGGCGTATATCACACAATGGTAATTCGATGGCAATAAATAACTGCTTAGCCGCATTAGTTGATTGTTGCGTATATCAATCTCAAATTCGTTTCTGCATTTTCATTTGAATGACTTTGGTTCAATGATAAAATTAAATAGATCTATGCTCAAAGTGCCTGTTTAATGTGATTTGTGTGTAAAATATGCAATAAGTATTCTTATTAATTATATTCCTGCCAGAAATGAAAAAGAGCAAAACTGAAATTAGTTTTGAATTAATATTTTGGAAATGCAATTCAATTGTTTTCTACTACAATAACTCCTAACACGACTTAGATGATTTGCATGTTGAATGCTTTCGTTGAACCTTTAGATCAATATTGCATATAAATATGTTGTATGTGTAGGTTGACTCAGGGTTGAACTGTTTGTTTTCTATCCACTAACACGTTTGTACACAATTGCTTGCAGTCATTTGGTTATACTCTGCTAACAAAGGTAGGAGTATATTGGATTTGCTACCTGTTCGTCTATTGCAGAAGCCCATATCTCTCAAAATTTATCAGACTGAGTTTGAATAGCATATTAATGATTAGACAATGGTTCCGGTACACGCAAGCTTGCCACCTGTGATTACCTAGTATAATACTGGTCACAGAGTATTCCGCAGTCTGTTACGCCTGACTGCAATGTTCCCAGTTGTATTGTTGTCGTTGGAGTTACTTCACTGCAAAAAAGTAGGCAACATATTTCAATTGAAAAGAAAAACTACATTTCTGTTACAACAAAACATTACACTCCGATAGTGTCGAATGGGGTCTGTCGTAGGTGATAGCGCCGCGAGGGGATGGGTGGGCTGGAGATGGCAGGAGATTTTGGGCAGTGTTTGCAGGCAGACACGAAATCATTTCGAACGTGGCTGACGACAAAAGTTAAACGAGGTCAAAGTGTATGAATGCGATTCAAGCATATTGACCGTTGACTGAATGGCTGGCAAACATGCGAGCCAGCAACACAAAAAAAGACACAAAAAGTAAAAAAAAAAATAAAATACCAAACACTGTGCCAAGCTCAGTATCTCCCTCGCTGTGAGTGTGTGTGCTTCCTGCTGCTGCTGAGTGTGATTTGTATCTGTGCATTTGTTTAAGTTTGCCTGTGTTTGATTGTCTGTTTGCTTTATTTATTGAGCAGCGCGCCGCTGATCAAATTTCAATAAAATCAAAATGAAAATACATTTGGATGACTGGCAAATTGTAGATCTATCTATCTATATTTACCCCTTAAATCCCCTCCCTCCCCCCACACCACTCCAACACAATTATGTTCGCTTGGATTTGGTGGCTTGCAAGTGTTTCTGATTTGTATTTTTTTTTTACACTTTTGCTTCTTTTGCAATCGCCGCAGCTTCCTTTTTGTAACTACTTCGCTGCGGTATCCAGCCACCAAAGCGCTCATGCAAAAGCAATTTCCTGAAGTTTTTACCCTACTATACACACACACAGGCACACACGCACACGTCGAAGCACGCACACACATAAGGACGCGAACTTGGTTGAAACGCATTGGCCAAGTTGTAAGGCGCTGAACGACACTCGACAGCATTCGAAAACCAATACGACTGCGATTATGCGGCTCTGCTAGTCTGTATCAGTGTGTGTGTATGTGTGTGTGTGTGTGTGTGTGTGCGAATGTGTGTATGTGATGTGCCGCGCACTCTCAAACTTACGAAATGCGCGCTGTAAGTAAGAAATCATTGAGGTTGGTCGCCACACTAATGGAAAACGACAAGCGGCATGTGGGCAAACGTTTTGCTGAGTTGTCCCCGTCGCCCGTGTCTCTGCTATCCACATTTTACCCTGTGGTTGCAATCTCCTTAATTTGGTGAGCTCCCCCCAACCGCACCACAGCCCAACCACGCACGTAGCCGGATGTTGCTCGAGCGATAGTTGTCGTTGTCGTTGCCGTTGTCAGCTGGAGAGGAGCTGCGGTGTAAGTTTACTTCACGTTTGGGTTTGGTCACCGCAAAAGTTTAACTGCTAGTTGTGACAGTCCTGCCTTACCGCCTGCCGCCTGCCTTTGGCCCTGCATTGGTACGGTGCCTGCAGCAACTTTTCTGCTAGCAGAAAGCATTATAGGATCAATTTCTTTTGAGCACTGATTTGCTGTCCATGCCAGCGAACCATCTGCATATATATACCACCCATTGCGGTTATATGGGGCTGGAAATCGGTCATTAATGTTGTTCTGCTTTAATTGTTGTTGCCCCTTTTACGATCCCTTTCGGCAGTCAGGCTTTCTGCCTGAGTTTGCCATGGCTTAATTAAATGGATAACGCAATAAGCACGTGACATTAGCTGAACGCAATTTTGAATTGTGACACACATTTTGTGCGTCTTACCAAAGAATTTGAATTTGAAAAGAGAGTGCATCTAAAGCTCTCCATCTAAAGAGAACTGTTGCACTCGGCTGCTCGCTCTTAAATTGCCTGCGCAGCCTGGAAGCTACCAAGCGGACTGGATGTCAAATGAAAACGAAATTCGAGGGCGCATAACTGACCTGCAAAGTTTGCCAAAGCTTGTGCATTTGCTCTCGGTTTCCCTCTTGCGCCCAGTGCGCATGTCTGGCGCTCAGCAACTTTCCAGCTGTCAGACAGACACGAGCGCAGAGGACGCAGCCTGACTAAAACACGGACGTGCACCGCTATTGTTGTCGTTGTCGTTCTCGTCCTGCTCTTCGTTTTCGTTCTCCAGCTCGTCGGACTGCTCGTTTGCCACGGCGAGGCAGCGCCTGAGCGCCCTTCTCAGTTCACTTCGTATACTCGTTGAAAGCTGTTCACGTTACGGCAGCCACGCACGGCTCTCAAGCCGTAAAACGCCAGCCAGCAATAATAATATCCCAACAACAATTGTAACACTTGCCACAACAATAGCAACAAGAGTTATTTCCCAGACTCGGCATACGGCAAATAGTCGCGCAGCGCGTTTCCGAGATTTATTTTTGGCAATCGAGCCGCCAAAAGTTCAAGTCGCAAGTTCAAAACAAAAGGCGGCTTACGCACGTGTGTGCGTGTGTGTGTGTGCTTGTGCGCGTTTGTGTGAGTATGTGTGGGGCGCATATCCTTGCTTATCCTTGAAAACGCATTTGTGAGCACGAAAATATACTGTGCATATTAAAGGCAGCAACAAGGCGTGAAATTCGTCCTGTGTCACCATCTCTCTGTGTGTCTCTGTGGGTCTATCACAAGAGCAGCAGCTTAAAATGTTGCTCAGCAAATTGTCAGCGCAACTGTGAACGCAACTAAAAAGTTGGCACCAACAAGCAAAAATATATGCAACAAATATAAAAGAAAATAAAAGTGAAAGCGCCTGCACCGGAAACGGAAGCTGGCAGCCAGGCAGGCAGTAGCGGGACCAGAAGCCAGGCACACATCACATCACAAGTGGAAAAGCGGCAACTGCCATGTGCTGTAGCTGCATTGTTGCTTTGTTAGCACTTTGACCCAAATCGCATGCAACGCGCGTGTGTCTCTGTGTGTGAGTGTGTGCGTGTGTTCGAGTCAGTTAGAGTGTTTTCAATGTATGACCGATAAGCGGACCGGTCTCAATGCCGTGACAAAGTTCCGTGTGAACAACAGATAAAAGCAAAAAGAAGAAAATTATCAAAAGGATACCTTTGCAGATAAACACAAATCTGTTATTTATACTTGCCGCGCGTATGTCCAAAGTTCGCCTGTCAACGGTACTTAAGTGCATCTCTGTTGCCACAGCTGTCACATTTCAGACTTTGGATTCAGGATACAGTCAGCACTCCTCTGGCAGCTTTACACATGTGAGTTTTTTCGCACCTGTGAAATGTATGACTTTTACTTTTACTTTAGCCTCAGCTTTCTCCTTCGCCTTCGCCATCGCCTTCGATTTCGCCCTCGCTCTTGCTACTTAGTTGACTACTCGCATCGCTCCGGTGTGCCACGTCGCTTATCCGTTTCCATATTTGCCACGGATTTGAAAGTTTGACATTCGTTAGTTTATGGCCAGCGGCAAACGTAAAATTGTTGTTGCTTTCTCAGTGTCACAAACACTCTCCCCGACCAAATTCCACAAACTCCATTTCCCGTTTCAAATTTTACGGCATTTACATTTACGGCCGCATAAATACGTGTCTTTATATGAAACATACGAGCTGGCGGCAGTTTTAGCATATCGTTTGTTATCATTTATTTTGATGGCTTCCAACAATTTTATGCTGTACATCTAAAGATAAACAAATAGAAAATAAATATTTTCTGTTACATACATGGCGTTTTTAATTATACTCTATAGTCATGGAACAGTAGGTGTTATTCTGTATGTAGCAGTCAAAACAAAATTATCTTTGGTTCACAAACACGTTTGCGTAATTTACTTAATTCAGAACGATTCAGCTCTGCTGCCTCAAGCTGGTGATCGCACCAATGTTCGATATCGATATCGATATTATATGTTAAGTTACAGATGTTATTTTACAGTCTTAGTACAACACTAGTGGCCTGCTACATCATTTTTGAAGTTTGTAACCCATTGAGGGAGACGTCTCTTACCCACAAACAATATTTTTTATCCATGATCAGTTTGACTAGCCGATTCGATAAAGCCATGATGTTCATTTTATTTAATTCAAGAATAACTCAGTTTTAAAGCAATCTTCACTTCACTTTAACATAATTCTATAATATGGAAAATTTCCATGAGTTTAAATTATTTATACCTAAGTGAATAAATCAAAATCAACTTCATTTAATGTAAATGTTACACAAAACCGATCTATCTATCTATCTTTGGTTTATCAGAAGTCACTTTATATACCATATATAGATTTTTATCATGATTATATTCTTGTTAAATATCTAATTAATGTGCAACTTTTTGCTAATAAGCACACTTCTGTAGGATATTTTTATGCCTTTAATATATTATTTACTGGCAGAGCACTGTCGCCTGGAGCAATCGTACTTGATTATCCCGAAGCCAATTATTCTTAATTAACGATGGTAACCATGTCATCTCATTAAAATATATACATACATACAGTGTCAGCCACTTTATTTGCCATTTCAATCATAAAATATTTCACATTAATTCTGTAGCTATCAGATGGATAAGAATATTAATGTAATCTAGGCACAATCGATTATAAATAATTCGAAAATTTAATATCGACTTAAGCAATGTGTTTGGTATTTTAAATGAATTTCCGTTGCTCATCGCATTAAAAGCGATCGAATTGCATTTCAGCATCCAAAATTCACAAATGAAGTTGCCTTTAAGTTAATGAAAATCGGCTACGTTTGACTTGTCTTTTGATTATTTTGCTTCAAACTTGCCATAAACAAGGCCAATGCGATTATGGCAACTTAACGCAAAAACCGTCGCACGACTAAGCGCTATTAAGGGGAAGTGGAGCTGGAGAAGACGCAGGGTATGGGATGTCATAAATATGCAGATGGCAAAAATATCTACAACGGCGGCTTCTTAATGAAATGGCAAAATGAAAACACGGGAAAATTGCTAGCAAAAGGCAAATATTTGCGTAGGGCCTCGGAGACACGTCGCTAATGGAAAGTCGTCGGCGGCGTCGATGACTATATGGAGACAACGCACAGTGTGACAATATGTGTATTGGTGTGTGTGTGTGTGTGCGTGCACTGTGCGTGTGTGTTTGGAGTGAATATGACAAGATGACGCTGCTGCTAGAAACCAATTAAATATATTTCCGCTTCGATGTCAAAATTAATGTGAATTTGATATTTGAAAGCTCGCACGCACACGCACAGTGGGGCAAGCAGCAGAAGGGATTGTGGCACATGTTTTGGGCGTGGCGTTCTGACAAGTCGCCTGGGTATGTCAACGGCTCGACTGTCTGGCATTTAACGAGCCCAGCTAACATGCTGTCACTGAGACGGTCGACGGCTTAGCACAAAAGCGTTCCTGAACCCGCAGGATACAGGTGAACATGCTAAATAAGGCGACGCCTTTGGGCCAAGGTGTCAGTTGTTGCTTGTTGGCTGTTGCCTCTTGGCTGTTGGCTGTTGGCTGTCTGGACGTTGACACAAACTTAAGAAGGCATTTGGCAGTGGACTGTCTCCCATAGGGCGCACGTGTAATTGCTAATGAGTGAGGCGCCTATGTGTAATTCGTATATTAAGCATACGCCACAGATGCGTATAAGGTTAAAATGTCAACGTTGCTGGCCAAACATCTGCTGATCAAGTATTTAAATGCGAGTTCTGCAAAAAACAAATAGCAAGCGCCGCTCTTTTTGGTTAAAGCTTGAGTATCTTGTCTTGATTTGATTGTGTGTGTGTGTAAGTGATTGCCCTGTCTAGTTATTTATGTAAAATATCTACAAGCATAATAACAATGGCAAATAAAAGCAAACAATATTTAAATAAAGGATTATGAAGACAGGACGGCTAACTTGGCCTGCAGCAGCCCAAGAAAAACATGGAACATTGAAAACTTGAGTGTGCGTTGCTGTGTGTGTGTGTGTCTGTGTGTATGTATTTGTGTGTGTCTTGGCTGACTGCCTGCCTGACAGGACTCTAGCTGATTAAAGCTGTATCAGTTTGTTGGTGCGTAGACTGGCTGGCAGCCTGCTGCGCTCCGTCTGCCTATGTCGCCGCATATTTTATTGTGTCTCCATCTCCGCGACTGCTTTTGTTTTCATTTTTATACACTGATCCCATTTAAATTGAGTCAAAGGGGTATAATGCAGTTATGCAAATTTGTGTAACAGACAGAATGAAGCAGCTTCGATTCCCATAAGACATTCGAGTCGATATAGCCAACCTAGTCTGGGTGTCTGTCTGCCCGATCTAAGAGAGTGAAAATCTGTACTATTAGTGGATTTTCATGATTGAATTTAACCTCTTTGTATAATTTGTAGAACTTTTATTAAGACCTTTTATGAAATTAAACATATTACCAAGCTGCAGCAAGCCCAAGAATTACATACGTATACAAATATATAAAAATTAGCTTAAGCTTATTTCTGAACGTGTTCGTTTCAGGGTATCTAATAGTTGACCTCTCCCTACTGCAAAATTCTAACTTGTTTTTAAATTCATTTTTATTCATTAGAATGTGTCCCGCTCATTGCACGATGATGTCATGTTAACAACAGCTTCCAAGCTCAACTCTCTCTGTTGGCACGCACAGCCAGTTATTATGCTAAGCATATGTGCTTTGGCCATCAACTTCTACGCACACACACACACACACACACACATATGATGGGTGTATGAATTTCAAGTGTGCCTCATCTCATATTATATTTTATGCAATCCTTAAGCTTATAAGCATTGTCAGCTGCTCTGGTTTTCATTTTGCTTAGCATACTTTTTAAATGATTTCATATGCATAGCTCCAGCGTGCCTTGCCTTCTCCTGTTTTTGTGGATGCCAACTTTTAATTTCCATTTATTTTGGCCGACTTTTGGTCCAGCTGATGCCCAAGGCTTATCTGCCGCTCTGCATCCTTGCATCCCTGGACTGGGCTGCCCCCAGCTGTCCCAGCTATTATGGCATTGTGTACTGCAGCTGCAGGACTGCTGGCTCTCGGTTGCATTGTGCAGCATTTCTGCAGATATACATTTATATATATATACATATATATTTACTTAATGCTTTTCCATTTGATTGATTACGGTGCACTCAAGCTTTTTATACCCTTTTGTCGGGGGTCTTGATACGAGACGTTCAATGATGTTCAATCAAGTATTTCTTTATTTTTCATAGCATTTATTGTAGCAGTCAAAATATTGATATCGATATCAATGTTCTGCGCAGATATTATTCTGTAGTCTTATTACTCATTAGTATACTGTTACCTAAATTACAAGAGGCCTGCTACATTATGTAGACTTGTTTTTAATTGTAAGCTTGTCTATTATTAGATCGTTCGTTGGCAGGCATAAAATTTGAGGGCCCATCGTTTTATTTTATTTGTCTAGCATGAATGTAGTTATGCCACCGAGTTGGGCGAATACTCAATGCTCATAGCACATTACGTTTAGGCAGTTGCCTAAGCAACTTTTGCCAAATTTACACACTTTGGAGAGGGATGGAATGGTTGGTCCAGTTAGTTTAATGACTGTGCCGTATTTTATCTGGAAGTGAAATGAATTTTAACAATGCCCCATAAACATTTATAGAATAATGAGGTAATTAAATTTACACAACTTTTGAGTGAGCCTAACAAATTAAGCGGGGTCTTTGCATTATAAAATACATATACCCGACTTAGATATTTATGGTGTTAATTGTATTCAAATAATATATATAAATATTGTTATTGTTATATATATATTGTTTCATCATACCTATGTACATAGACAGCAATTGACATCGACAGGGTTTTGTCTTGTAAGCTGGTCAACAATATGATTACCTTTCACCCTTCCCCCACCCACATGCACGGATGGCTAATCAATCATGTCCAGCCAGGATTGCGGCCAGATGGGTCAGTTCGCAGGTCGCTGATGCCGTTGTTGCTAATCCTCATTTAACGTTATGTAAGCTAGTTTGGCAGTCGAACTTGGTTTCGAATTGTAGTTAATTATTGAACACTCGCATCAACTAATTATGCTAAGAGCCGAATACTGAGATCGTGTTATGCTGCTGCTTTATTTGGTTTATTTTGTCGGGGCAACTGCTTTACTACGTCGTGTTTGCTTGCTAGGGTAAAGTGTGTATTTGTCTGTTTTACCTTGAAATCCGAACATTCTATTAGCACAAAATGAATTATTAATAAGTATGTCAATGCGGTCTGACTAACAAGGTATGCGTGGGCGGG